ATGTTTAAAGCCACCGTCCCCTCATTTCCGCTTGACTCCATGGTTTGATTTCCTTTCCATACTCTCGTCTCTCCTCATATCTCTCCTTCCCCTAGTCTATACATCTTTTCCTTCACTCCCATAATCCCTCCATCTGTCTGCTCTCCATCTGACCTTCCCAGTACATCGATTACATCAGTAACCTGAAACACATTGAAGTTAAAGGGGATGGTACCGCGTCGTTCGAGCTTGACTTGGTGCTCAAAGACCCCAGCAGTAGGATTTTCCTCTACAAGGTGAGATGAGTGTGGGCCTCCAAATGGGGGACTTTGAGGAACTGGGAATTTCACATTTACCAGCTACTGCTATGGTTTTTCTATATGGCTTCCTTGCCCTGTTTTCACATCATCACAAATCTGAATTACCTGATAAATTGTTTCTCTCAGTTCCTGTAAGAAAAATAAAACTTCCAGTGAATAAAGAAGCCAAAAGCCTGAATTTCTTCATATAGATGGACTTAACTTGAGTTGCCAAAGTATTTTGACAGGTTCTCAGACATGCCTGGTAACCATACATTATTGATTATCATGTAAGATGCTACACCTTACTGCTGACTGGCTGATATAAGCTGCCACTCAGGAAAACATGCACCTCCTCCTATCAGTCCTACCCAACATCTACAGGAAGCCACTGTGGACAAACAGTGCATGGGACAAAGCAACAAGGCTTATGTTGTTTTCAATTATACAGGATGGCGATATGATCCCTTTCAGTGAGGACATGGAGATGAAGCATCAACTGAAGCAAGTAGGCAAGAAACTGGTTTTCACCATCAAGGACCTTTTGCCAGAGGATGCTGGAGTCTATCAGGTGGACGTTGAAGACGTCAATGTCTTCTCCACTGAGTTCAAGAGTAAGATTGTGCACCTGAGCATGCACCATACCTTATCTGAGTATAGTGTCAAGTCACTCAACCCTCTGCTGCTCTTTCAAACACAAAATATCAGCTGTGATCCACTGCGTATTTCAACAAAGTGACGACCTGTAGCTTAATTCCTATTATCCTAGACTGCTAAACGGTCTGGCCTCTCTAAGTCCCATCTAAAAGGGCTTGCTTTTCTCATATCTGCACTGGAATTATAACACTGTAACCAAAACCAACTTACATAAGAACATAAGAACATAAGAAATTTACAAATGAGAGGAGGCCATTCGGCCCACCAAGCTCGTTTGGGGAGAACTTAGCTAATAGCTCAGAGTTGTTAAAATCTTATCTAGCTCTGATTTAAAGGAACCCATGGTTTTAGCTTCCACTACAATAGCAGGAAGACTATTCCATACTCTAACTACACGCTGTGTAAAGAAGTGCTTCCTCAAATTTGTTTTAAAATGTTCTCCCGCTAATTTCCACTTATGGCCACGAGTTCTAGTATTGACTAATATTGAAATAGTCATTTGGCTGAACAGCATCCAGACCACCCTCCAACTACATTCAGACATCTAGCTATACCCCACCTGACAAATGATAG